TTAATTATCCATTTGTAATTCTTGCCATAAGAATGCTCTGATCACGGACACCCACTGCTCTCATTTTTTTCTAAGTCCCCCTCCTTCCCTCACCACCAGCCCCGCACTCTCCTGCCTGGCTGTTCTCCCCTCACCCTGGGCTCCAAGACAGTCCTCTTTCTCCTGGTCCTGCATCCTTGCCATGTGCTCACAAGCCTCTCCCATTCCCTCTCCAGCCCCATTGCTGGTCTCCCTCACTGCTTCTGTGACTGGGGGTGCCCCTTGCTCTGCCTCCCCAATCTCCTGCACCGGAGCACCAGATACACACCTGGAATTTTCATGCTGGCTGCCAGGATCCGCCATCACACGGGGGTCCATGCTGACCTCAGGCAGACCCAGCAGGGCCCTTCCTGCCCTGGGGGCGCAGGCAAATGGAGGGCCAACGGTTGGGGCCTAACCTGCGGGGACTTCGCACCATTCTGCTTCATCGTTCCCTTTCCCATCTGCCTCCTCTCCCCATTATTCCAACTCAGGCTTTAATTTTCACAAATGATACAATTTGGTGGTTTGGGGTTTCTGCAGGAGATTTTCTGCGGTCCTCAGAGCACTGGGTCCTGTTTGCCCTTGTTAAAGAAGAGGGACTCTGGACGCTCTGCAGACCCCGTCAGGCTGCGGTAACAAGCAGGGGCCGTTTGAGCCGCAAAGTGTAAACCTGGTCCTCCTTAGTGAGACTTTGCAGAAATCCCACTGGAGATTTTTCTGCCCCTGCCCTGTCTACTTTCTTTCATAATGATAAATGGCTGAAAAGAAAACTATCTAATCTCCAAACTGCTTGCTTTTTTTCTGCTCTTTCTTCAAGGAGAGAAGGATGAACACAGTCACATAAAACAGAGTCCTTCATCGCCTGCTTCTCAGGAGACAGCTCTTTCCCTTTTCATCCCAGGCCTGTTTCTGATCTGTGATGGGCTCGCATTGAAAGCTCCAGCCAGGCCCTCTCTAATCAGCTGCGACAGACGCTGCAGTGGCTTGGGTTGCCCATTGAAATTGAATTGATTACCTGGCCCCTTTGCCATTTTGTTCTGCACACAATTGCTTAATAGCTGTCACCTTGGCTTTCAGTCCCAGCCGACTTCAGGCTGACTGGTTCCCATTACTCAGGATGGCCGGTGCAAGTTCATCACCTTTACAGGATGTCCCTGATTGATTCCGTATGCCTTGGAGACCTGTAATATATTTGCATAGGAGGGAGTAGGGCCCTTTTGGGGGGACAGAAGAGAAATCTCTTGGCCGCAGGAGCTGCCAGGGTTTGCTGTGGAGCTCGCCATCTTTGAATCATTACCAGGGCTTCTTGTCGGGAGCCTGGCCTCTGCTGACATAGCTGCTAATGAATTTGTAAATTTTTAAAAAATACAAAACAACCCAGCCTGTCCTAACCTTTGCTGTCGCCACCTGCCGCCTGGGTGGGGGCAGCAAACCGACTAGAGCTTGTGCTGGTCTTTGAAATGACGGTCTCTCTCTCCCCTCCCCCTCCCTTGCCCGCCAAGCAGGAGGACTGGGGCTTGGAGGGAGACATCTTTCAAGTGAAATCCTTTGCACTGGGAACTACTTCAATTAGACAGCAGGGGGAATGTTAACATGCCCTCCGGCCTTTTAAGTGGGTTTTAATTTTATGTTGTAAGATAAGACACTGCGGAGCTGGGGCCGCTGCTCCTCCAGGAGGCTCCATTAGTGGGGCCAGCCCAGGCCTCTTGACCCTTGGAGGCCCAGCCGAGGCTGGAAGTTGCTTTGGTTTTTTAACAATTTGTCAGTCTGACCCAGCTTCTCTTTTTTCATTCTCTTTTTGTTGTTGTTGTTGTTGTTGTTCTCGGTTCTTCTGTGGTGGGAGAGCAGTTGGGTGGCTGAGCTGTGGTTGAGGGCCCAGCCCAGCGTCCCCGCAGTGCCCTGGCCCTGGGCTGGGGACAGAGCCCCGGGGGCTGCCTGCCTATGGCCTCACAGCTGAATGTTCATCGGTTTTGTTTTTTCTTTTTTTTTTTTTTTCTCCTTCCCCAAGCAGGGCACAGCAGAAGCAGACACTTTTCATGTGGCAGGTTTCTGGCCCGATGATGTATGACCTGTTGGCGCTACTGAATGGTGCCCTTTGTTCCAGGGTATCCCATGTGCCCCCCTTTTATTGACTTGTTGATTCAGAGGGGCAGGAAAGTTCCACAAATCCCACGGCAGGCCTTGCTCTAGCCATGCCCAGGTGGGGAAGACCACGGACCTCATGCTTCCCAGAACATTGGTAGGAAGCTGTCGGCTGCCTAAAGGCAAAATGCCCCCATTAGAAGCGGCTTTCTTTACCTTGGACTCAGGCGACGGTGTGTCTGGAGAGCGCCTGGGAACCCACATCGAGCCCCCAGCCCTCTGTCTGGGGTTCTAGAAAGCGAGGAGTATCCCGGAATGCAGTCTTTACCCAGAAAGAAAAGAGCAGAGCAGGTGTGAGTTAGGAGAGCCCCCCTCCCCCATCCCCTGAGCCAAGTTCAGTTAAGTTTTTCTCTGTGATCACCAAGTCCGAGGTGGGAGCCAACAGCCAAGGGGAGAAGGACTTGGCCTCCTTCTGCAGGAAGAAGTCCAGCCAGAGTGAAACCCTAGAGCCACAAGGGAAGGACTCTGAGGAAACTGGAGACAAAGTTGACTTTTTACCCAGCAGGAAATCTCATCTTAATCCTGATGAGGACAAGGCTTTAAAAGGCACCCCTTACCCTTGCCTTCTCTTCTCCTGGCTTCCAGACCAGCCTGCAGTGGAGATGGTGGATGACAGTGACCAGCTTTGGAAAAGGAGCCATGAGGGGAGGAGGCAAGAGGCAAGGGGTTGTAAGGAGGGAGACCCAACAGCGCCTTCCAACACCAGCTTCTCTTCTAATCTAGAAGGGTGAACCTGGACTGCATCTCATCTCCATTTTCGCACTCCTCTTGTGGCCGGTCTTCAGGGACCTGGCAGAGGAGTGGGCAAGTGGAGGGCTGTCAGGCCTTGATCCCTCCCCTCTGGGGTGCAGGTGGCTGATAAGCTCACACATCTGACTACTTCAGAAAGCCGCGGGCTCTGAATGGAACCTGCTCTTCAGTTCCTTTTCTGAAGCAGCTGCACAAATCCCACCAAGAATTCCCTACTTGGGAGGTCACTTCCCCCAGATCGCCAGGTTGTGTGTTGACTACTAAAAGGTGACAGATTCTCGCGTACTGCCTGCCCTGCCCTTCTGGGGTCTTTGTGGGCCCCGGAATCCAGACCCATCCTCTGGGGAGTAGCGTGAAATCAAATGCCCAGCTGCTCCATTGGTACCACGTGACTTCTCTCTAAGCTCAGAGGCCCCTTGGCACAGATACTCAGAGGCACTAAGGGCTCCACCTGGCCCCTGAGAAAAAAATACAAGCAAAAGGGAGGCAGAGACCATCGCTGAGCCAAGAAATGACAAGTCAGCAGTAAAAAGCACCCACACACTTCACAGTTGTAAAATGGCTTTATGTTCCGATATGTAAAATAAAATGTCCATGCTATATAACAAAACACTTGACATTCCATATCCCGTTAGCTACTGTGTCTTCTAATAAAGTTTAATCTGTAGTGTGTGTGTTTATATATATATTTATTTATTTATTTATTTATATATATATATATTTATTTATATGTTTTTCTAAACCATTCTTCGTTTTTAACATCAAAATGTGTAATAAAATTTAAATAGATGTCTTTCCAAATACCCCCTCCAACGTTTCACTTTATTGGGTTAATTCATTTGTAACAAGCAAAGCTGAATTTGACATGTGGCCTGCATTTGTGAGATATATATATTTATTTATTTATTTCCTTATTTATATAATATATAAATAACTATTCAGCATGCAAAGAGTTTAGTGACTTCCCAAATTTGATTACAGAGTTCACACCAGCCACATGGATGGTCTGGTGATGATCAATGCTAAAAAGCTGGGCTGACAACTATGAGATCCACCTCACCGGAGAAGAATTATCCTTACTCCTCAAGCACACTGGCTGAATTTACTGGAAGAAATGGATGTTTTCTCAATTCTCATTTTTATTTCTGTTTGGGCTTTCTTGCTGCAGAGGCAAGAAATTTCTGGGAGTGAACAGGCTCTGGAGATACCTGGCAGCAGCTCCACTGTAGTCTCCTGGGGACGTTGCCAGGTAAGTGTGTCTCATAATTGCTGGTCATGGGATGCAGATGGTGCCTGAGAGGCTGAGTTTTGCACACCAGAGTGAGAACTTGTATGTCGGGAACCAAGGGGGAAGGGCTTTGTACGTTATAGGAAAACCTGAATGATGACAGAGATGCTATTGGTTGCATTTTCCCTCCTCTTGAAGGAAAAATTTTAAAAAATGTTAATACCCATCAGGTGGCACTTAGCCCATGACTCTTTCTGAAAGTCAGACCTCAGAGCTCCAGGGATCAATTTCCAGGCCACTAACCGAGCAGCCAGCTCCACTCTCAGAGCACGCTTTGCTCAGCTGAGTCCACCTCTCAGGTAGCCTCACAGAATCGCCCGAAGCCAAAGGAGTGGCCTCCAGCTCCCAAAACAAGCTCCTCTGCTCCCCTTGCAAATAGAAGGCCAGGAACTCTAAGATGCGCACAGAGCCTCCCACCCCAGCGAGAGAATCTTCCCCCAGCTTTCCCTGTGGGAGAGACCTCACCACCTGGCCCCTGAGTAAGTCAAATATTATATTATAAAAATCTCTAAATAACTCACATGAACTCTCCACTCCCATCTCCTCCATGAGCATGTCAAGAGGTGTCAGATAACCATGGACCCCGGTCCAACAGCCAAAATTACTTCTTAGATTATTGTGTTTGTTTCCTTGTCGTGGCCTCAGTTGCACATCAGAAGATAGAGGCTCTCCAGTTACGCGCGCATGCGCGTCCACGC